TATCTATCTATCTATCTATCACTTATCTATCTATATCTATCTCTCTATATCTATCTATCTATCTATCACTTATCTATCTATATCTATCTCTCTATATCTATCTATCTATCTATCTATCACTTATCTATCTATATCTATCTCTCTATATCTATCTATCTATCTATCACTTATCTATCTATATCTATCTCTCTATATCTATCTATCTATCTATCTATCTATCTATCAATCAATCTATCTGTCCATCATTTATCTATTTATCATCTATCTACTACCAGTCTGTACTCTCTCTCTCCATCTATCTTATATATCTATCTCATTCTATCTATCTATCTATCTATCTATCTATCTATCTATCTATCTATCTATCTATCTATCTATCTTCTCTCCCCCCCCCCATTGTAATCCTCTTCTGTATAATTAGATAGATAGAGATAGAGATAGAGATAGAGATAGATATCCCTCTCTATATATATGGTACAGAGCAGGATTCTCATTGCTCTATCATTTCACAGGCCCATTTCAATCACATCGTCCAGAGATTCCAAGTTCAAGAAACGTTTGGACAGAGATGAAGGTTAAGCAACACTGAAAGGAAAAAAGAAAAGGAAAGGAAAACCAGCCAAGAGTGGAAGGAATCCAAAGCCTTTGTCAGAAGGAGGCTTTTTCAGGAACTGTGCAGAATAGCAGGACGCCGTGGGCTTTCTCCTCAGAGCTGGCTGTTAAATAAGGTGGGCCCTCTTTGCTTGCAGGATTCTTGGAGACCTTCAATGCCTGGATTTCACCTTCTCCCTTCGGAGCCTGTAAGATGTTCTCCAGTACCTGCTGCTAAAGGAGCTAATGGTTTGCAGCCTGGAAACATTGGCTGGCTTTGTTTATGTATTTATTTATTTATTCACAAGGCTTCAAGCCCTCCTTTTCAGCCCTCCTGGACGGGTGGACCTCCCCCCCAATGGGAAATCCAAAGAATAAAGGCAAATCAAAGGAAAAGCAGCTGCTTGTAAGGGGGAAAATCACTCGAAGCCTGGAATCCAGATAAAAATCAGAGCTGATCCGTCACGGGGGGGGGGGGGGGGGGAGGGGGTCGTAACAATTGGGCCCTCTGGTTGGGTGAAATGACCCTTCACAGTTGTATAAGTCGATGCTCACAGCCAGTCCTGACCAAGTATTCTCTCTACTGGAAATGAGAGGGGCTGGATTTCAGCAGGGGGCTGGACTAGAAGATCTCCAAGGTCCCTTCCAGCTCATTCTATTCTATTCTATTCCTCTCTTCTAATCCTCTCTTTTCTTCTATTCCTCTCTTCTCTTCTCTTCCTCTCTTCTCTTCTCTTCCTATTCTATTCTATTCTATTCCTCTCTTCTCTTCTATTCCTCTCTTCTCTTCTTGTCCATTCTATTCTATTCCTCTCTTCTCTTCCTATTCTATTGTATTCTATTCCTTTC